ATTTTTTAAGTATCTCCACACTTGATATTTGAAATTAAAAGTATTCTAGCAGGGCACGTAGTATTGCCTCTATGATTCTCGACAATTTCTGAGGATCACGGGCATGTTATAGGGACATTTTTCTGGGTTCAGTTGGTGGCAGGTAGTAACATTTTATTTTGTCCATTTTAATCCTATTGGATTTCTTTAATTACGACCGTTAGTCGAAATTAATAATTTTAGAATAAGCCATCCATATGTGGGGAACAGATTTGAAATAGGTGCGAAGTATTGCCTTGACGCTCATAAGTTGCAATGCTTATTTCTACTTGCTGTAAGTGCTTTCTTAATGGCGTACTCGCCGCACCACGTACATCAGTTTGCTATCTAATGTTACAGGATTCACAATGGTGATAACACACATAGGAGTGAGAAGCCTAGACACCTGTTTAACGGAAGTTGTCAGAAACGTGTGATTATAGATAGCAGTTAGCTAACCGAACGTTGATCGAGTAGCGAAAGTTCGAGATTGATATGCAAGGAATCGAATTGGGGGCAAAAGAGATTCACCTGCACTGACTATAGATTTAAATCTGCCATAAACTACTACATTTATTTACCCTATTTTGAATCACAGGATTCGTTGGAGTAGGCTAGGCGGTATGGTAAATGCATTTTTGGGGCTTATAAAGGCTGAGTAATAATGTATTGTGGAGGTCGAAAAGGACTGAAGAGGAGATTTGCCTATTGTTTATCGTCCCGGTAGAAGAAGGAAATGTTAACAGTGTCACATGTCTAAACCGTTCCGGCACCAAGCTCGTCATGTGAAACCCTCGTCTTGTGAAACGTAGCCAAGCAAACTGCATCAATTCGCTGATTGGCTGCAGGCGACAGAGGACCCACGACCTGTGAGCAAGACTCAACGACGGCCACAGGCACTCACGCACACGCACCGACAACTCGTTAACTGGGTGAAGCTCGTCAATCGAAACACATTTTCTGGCGGTGGCTCGCTCGTTACCTGTAATGCTCGTAGATGGTGCTGCTTGTCATCTAAGGCACCGTTGTATTTTGAATCTCTGGTTAGTGTTTACGGAAAAATTCCATTTGACCAATGCAAGTCGAGGTAAAATGACCGGCCACACAATAGTGAATGGTCTTCAGACCTGCCTTCGTCGAACTAACTAACATCTGATTTCAAACTCAGTTCTTGGTCCACCCTGACTCCATTTCCGTGTTACATGTACTAACCTAAAAAACTACTATTTTCATTTTTCCAGCCTTTCCGAGTGGGCGATGTCATCGGATGTTTTCTGGATTTGGACAATGGTATCCTCCAGTGGTCAATTAATGGCAATGCCTTCCCAGAGGCCTACCGAATTGACCAATCTTTCATCACTCACAAAAAGAGCGTTTTCTTCCCCGCGGGATCCCTATATAACACAACTATCAGTGTCAACTATGGTGATCGTCCGTTCAAGTTCGAGCCATCGGTGAGCAAGTTTTAACACCTAGAACCATATGCCAGCTTTAAAGGTTGAGATACTATTCTTAAGACCTGCTCGCGATTTCCATCAACTCGCACAGATATTTATCTAGAAGAACAGTTTTTACCCATAAAACAGGACGTTTTCAAATCCCTTTGTCCCATGAGACTGTATTATCCTGCCTTGGTGCCTACTACTTTAAACAGATAGCCAGATATTTATCCAGAGCACAAACGGAAAAGCTGAGTCGCCAATTTAAAAAAATTTCACTTTCCTGCTCAATTTACCCAAGCGCCATATTTTGCGAAGCCCAAAAACAGACTGTCGTCATGACTAAATAAAAACCGATGAGATTGTCGCTCCAGAATCACACAATTATTGTGTCTAATGTGGAACGTTTGGAATCATGACAAAAAATTTATTGATTTTTCCCTCTCTCTCAGTCTTGTTACTCCTAACCAGTGACCTTCCCACTAGATCCCTGACTGCCTTTGAAGTGAAATGTTTGCTATGATTCTAGAAAAAAGAAACGTTCTTACTGCTCTGAGGCATCGGTCACATTTGTCCGTCCCGGCTGTTCTCGAGGTTGTACATATATGTATATATAATTTAAGGCTAGGCGCATCCTCTGCATCCATAGGTCGCGTACGCCTCTCACCACGCAAGCTGCCGCCTTAATTTAGTGGGCGTTAATCCTTTCAAATGACCAGCTCCCTTCCGCCCTCTTCTTTACGCAACTCCAGTGTTGCAACCAGAGCGCTACCACGATATTTCGTAGCCTTTGAAGTTTCCCTAATATGCAGCTGTCTTTCCATAGGACATCAATGAAACACATGGAGAAAAAACAGCCAATAGCCCGGTTAATTACCGAAGTGAGAAAAATGACCTATATACGATGGGTGGAGTGTGTGTGGCGTTGCCTTGCAATTTAGCTCTCATTGTCTTCTGAACTCAGTTAATAGGGAGGAAGCCTCACGGGTTCCAGAATGTAAATTAAACTTTCGTATAAACTGGAAAACACTCATCCCAAGAAATTTTAATTTGAAGAAGATTTTCTTTGGCATATAAGGTAACTTTAATTAGTGAATTTTCGAGTCTGGTGCCCCAGCTCGTCTTCTGACTAACAGGAAATATGCAATAAGTAAATAAAATTTCAAACATGCGAAAAAATAAAGTTATACGGCCTGAGCCCTGATTGGTAGGTGTGGCCTCAGTCAGTGGCGTGCCGTT